TAAAAGACCTATATGCAGAAAACTACACAACACTGAAGAAAGAAATCAAGGAAGACACAAACAAATGGAAACATATATCGTGCTCATGGATCAGAAGACTTAACATCATCAAAATGTCCATACTACCCAAAGCAATTTACACATTCAATGCAATACTTATTGAAGTACCAATGGCTTATTTCACAGACATAGAACACTTCAAAAATTTATATGGAACCATAAACAACCCCGAATAGCTGCTGCAATTTTGAGAAAGAAGAACACAGTAGGAGGGATCACAATACCTGATACCAAACTGTATTACAAGTCCACTCTAATCAAAACTGCCTGGTACTGGCATAAAAACTGGCATGTGGACCAATGGAACAGAACAGAGAGCTCAGAAATAAACCCAAGTCTCTATAGTCAATTAGTATTGGACAAAGAGGGTAGCAACATAAAATGGAATAAAAACAGCCTCTTCAACAAATGGTGTTGGGAGAACTGGGCAGCTACATGCCAAAAAAAAAAAAAAAAAAAAAAGAAAAGGAAAAAAAGGAAAAGAAACTCAAGCGCCAACTTTCACCATACATAAGAATAAAATCAAGGTGGATAAAAGATTTAAATATAAGCAGTGACACCATGAAAGTCCTAGAGGAAAACATAGGCAGGTTAATCTCAGATATTTCATGCAGCAACTGTTTTACTGATATGTCCCCTAGAACAAGGGACATCGAGGAAAGAATAAACAAATGGGATCTTATCAAAATGAAAAGTTTCTGCACAGCTAAGAAAAACAGTATTAAAATAAAAAGAGAACAAACTGTATGGGAAAACATGTTTGCCAATGATACCTCAGACAAGGGTTTAATCTCCAAAATAGATAAAGAACTTACATGACTCCACTCTAAGAAGACAAGCAACTTAATTAAAAAATGGGCAAAAGACTTGAACAGACACTTCTCCAAAGAGGACATACAGAGGGTACAGAGACACAGAGGATACAGAGGGTAAAGATGCTCAGTGTCACTAGCTATGAGAGAGATGCAAATTAAAACCACAATGAGATACCACTTCACACTGGTCAGAATGGCCATCATCATTAACAAAGCAAGAAACAAGTGTTGGAGAGGTTGTGGAGAAAAGGGAACCTTAGTGCACTGTTGGTAGGATTGCAGACTGATGTAGCCACTATGGGAAACAGTATGGAATTTTCTCAGAAAACTAAAAATGGATCTGCCTTTTGACCCAGCAATTCCACTGCTAGGATTATACTCTAAGAACCCTGAAACACCAATCCAAAAGAACCTATGCACCCCAGTGTTCATAACAGCACAATTCACAATAGCCTAATGCTGGAAGCAACCTAGGTGCCTATCAGTAAATGAGTCTATCAAAAAACTATTGTACATTTACACAATGGAATTCTATGCAGCAGAAAGAAAGAAGGAGCTGCTACTCTTTGGGATGGCAAGGGTGTAACTGGAGAACATTATGCTACGTGAAATAAAGCAGGCAGTGAAAGATAAATACCATATTATCTCACCTTTAACAGGAACCTAATCAACAAAACAAAGAAACAAGCAAAATATAACCAAAGACACTGAGATTGAGAATAGGCTGACAGTGTTCAGAGGGGAGAGGGGAGGGAATTTCAGGGGAAAAGGGGAAGCATTTACAGGAACAAGTATAAAGGACAAATGAACAAAACCTTGGGGGGATGGAAAAGGGAGGGAGATGGGTAGGATTGGGGGGGTGGGCTGGGACAGGAGTAAAAGGCAGAAAGCTGTACTTGAACAACAACTAAAATAAAATTAAAAAAGAAAAACCGTGGTACATTTACACAATTGAATACTATGCAGCAGAAAGGAAGAAGGAACTCCTACCTTTTGTGACTGTGTGGATGGAAATGGGAATAGTATGCTAAGCAAAATAAGCCAGTCAGTGAAGGACAAATACCATATGATTTTCACCTATAAAAGGAACCTAATGAACAAAAAGAAACTAATGAGCAAAACAGAACCAGAGGCATGGAAACATAGAATAGACTGATAACAACCAGGGAGGGGAATAATGGTGGAAAGAAATGGAAGGGACTAGCCAAAAAAACAGGTATGAATGACCCATGGACATGGATAACAGTGTTGGGATTGACTGTGGGAGTGGGACTGACTATGGGAGTGAGCTCAAGAGGGCAAAGGGGGAAAAATTTGGACTATAATAGAATAATGATAAAAAGTTTTACAAAATAAAGATATCAAATACATTCAATTCTAAAAATATAAATATAGGTGTTATAAAAGAAAAATAAATCACTGACATAAATCAGCAAAGGTTGCTGTGAGGTATCAAGTAATTACTCTGAAAATTGATAAAACAGATAAATATTTATTCCGTTTTCCTTTATGAATTGTATCTCAGGGTTACCTCACAAGGGAAATTTAAAAGAAATAAAAGCAGATAAAAGGATAGAATTAGAAATTCACAATTTTAGAACTCAATAAAATATGGGTCAAGGTTATGATTTAATAGGTATTAAAAACATTCATTAAGTAAAAAGCTGGGAAATTTTTATTTTATTCTTATTTTATTATTTTTAAAAATAATTTCCTGCTTTTAACATGTACATACTTTAGATTTGGTAATCATTTCCACATACAGTTAGGGTTATTGAACAATTTCAAATATCAAGGTGGGAAATTTTTAAATAAAGTAATCTTGCTGACACTATCTGAATCCACAGATCAGACTGAGCATCATTAAGTCAGATAACCAGTTAACATGTGCCTCACAATTTGATGCAAGTGACAGTAGTCAGAACCACCTATGAATTTCTGCCTAAAAGAAAATACTAAGAGTAAACCTGAACTAATAAAGATTTATTTTTTTAAAAAAGATAAATTTAAAAAATACAAATAGGAAAGGAAAAATATTTCTAAATATTTCATGGGTCATGAAAAACATACTGGACATTACTTTTAAAAATTCTAGGAACTGCTTAGTGTGGTTCAGTGGTTGGAGCATTGTCCCATAAACCAGAAATTCACATTTTCAATTCCCATTCAGAGCACATGCCTAGGTTGTGGGTTCAATTCTTAGTCGGGGCACATATAAGGAGCAACCAGTTGATGTTTTTCTTTCACATCAATGCTTCTCTCTTGCTCTCTCCTTCCTTTCTTTCTCTAAAGTCAGTAAGCATGCTCTCAGGTAAGTATTAAAAAAAAGAACCATAATGGGAACTGGATAACAAAGATACCACATACAAAACATTGTGGGATGCATTAAAAATTTTAGGTCAATCCATAGGCTTAAATAAAACTTAAAGTAGGAAAAGAAGGTTGAAAATTAATGTGTTAATAGGCATCTGTTAGAGGGACAACACAGTAGGCAAACAGGTAATAACCTGAACAGGAATTATACAGACAAGGAAACTTGTATGGCCAATGAGTATATGAAAAAAAGTACAATGTCATGATTCACCAGAGAAATACAAGTTAAGATCGCATGAGATGATATTTTTAAACTCACCTGAATAGTAAAAACTAGATTATTTTGAGACTACCAAAATAATGGCCCAAAAAGTAGCAAAGCAGAGGCTCTTACATATTGGTACCAGGTGTTTAAATTGGTAAAATCCTGCCGTTAGATATGCCATGTAACACTGTCATGTGCAGATGAACATTCGTAAGTCCTTCAATAAGCAATTATAGATATACCCTATAAAAATGTCTGTACCTATCTACCAATTATAAGCATTCTTAGTAAAATGAAACACGAAAATCAGACACATAATGGAACATTGCTCAGCAGTGGAGATGACTGGCTAGAGCTTTGTCATCAACACAAATGAATCTCAGGAACACAACAGTGAAGGAAAAAGAAAAGCAAATAGGGGGTTCTAAGTATTAACACTGCCTCTCACTCAGTCCCACCTCTAACATTTAACACTCTACACTGAGAAAATCAAGAAATGCTTACAACTCGTAAAGAAAGAAATTAATTCTTTTGGTGGTTGTCATGACCCCATGTTTTGCTCTGCATTTCCTTTGAAAAATGCCATGATTCCATGATTGGGAAAAAAAAAATCCAGACACATGGGGCACTGTGGATCCTGAGTTTCAAAAGCTATATAACCAATAAACACTGAATGAAGGCCACTGAAGAACTGCTGAGGTCAAAGGGAACCAATCACATGAAAAGCTGTCGCCATGAATCTAACCAAACATTTCTGCACAAACTAAAGAAGCCAGTGTATGGAAATGTTTCTGCTACATTTTCACACTGTGTAAGAGCTTTATTTTGTGGTACTGTAATATCCAGTCAAAAAGTAAGTCTCCATCACTATTTTCTTACTATAAATTTGAATGTGCATACTGAGATTTTTCTATGTATTCTTTTATGATGCTTTAATGTTTTCTTGGAATTGTACAAACATTTGTAAATTAGACTGTCCTCTATAATAAAATAAAAATTTGTGCAAGTTTTAAAAAGCATATAAACAAAAATTATTAAACGCAAAACAAAGAAATACATTTGTGATGATACTATTTTTAAAAGAGGAGATTTGAAAAACAAATTCAGAATAGCAGTTATTTCAGGGTTGTTCTATGTCAATAAATCCTCCAATTCAAGAGTGTACATCTCTACCAGTAACTGCCATTTTAAACTGAAAAACATGATTCAAAAATGGTCCCATCTTGCCTTAAAATGGAAGATACACAGCAAATAAAATGATCCATTTCAATGAACAGTTCCCACACTTCATTTAAGAACATAAAGTGTGTGGCACTTAAAATATACTGTTATATATATTCTTTAATTTGAGCATTACTACAACTCCATATAAGGAGGTACTATTTCATCTTACCCATGAGGAAGCTGAGCCTCAGAAGTATTAAAAGTCTACAGTCCTATTTTTTAAGACAACATTATGACAGGTCTACATAGGTATAATTCATTATCAATATGTATGGAGTTGATGGTTAAACATAATCTTAGTTGAAAAAATATTAATCACTTACTCTGTACCAGGTACTGTACTGGATGCTGGGGATATAAAGATGAGTAAGACACGATTCCTTCTTTCAAGGAGTTCATAGTCTAGTGAGGAGATAAACCTGTAAACAAATAGAGAGCTTTCAGTGTGACAGTTACTGAAATAAATGCTGAATATAAAGTAGCACACTGGGGGCACCCAAGAGGAAGTTATTAACCCAACCTTCAGGAGTCACAAGAAGGTTCGCGTCTTAAATTATGGAGAATATGGAACATTCAGAGAACTTTGGCGTGGCTGGACAATGGGATGGAAGGACAGTGTGTAGTGACAAGACTGACGGCAAACAGGGTAGCCCAAATTGTATAAAATCCCATGGAATAGTTTATGTGGCACTTAAAGTAAACAAAGCACCGTATTTTACAGTTTATCCTGAATATAACTGATACACACTGAAGGATTTCAATAGCCACAATTGCATTTTAGAAAAATAACTTGGTTAGTAGTGAGTTTTTAAATGAATTTATCTGAAGCAGACAACTGGTAGTGTGAACAAAAAACCTGAAGATTGTACAAGATCTCTGACCAGAAGATTATGGGGTAGATGAGGGTTAATAGAAAGATTCTAAAATACTAAAATGCCCTACCTCATTATCTGGGTGAATGATGGCACCATAACCAGGATAAAGTACTATTAAGAACAGGAACATATTGTGGGAGACAAACAGCACAAAGTTTTTAACAGCAGACTCTGGAGTCTGACTATTTAGATTTCATTGCTAATTCTGCCATTTATTCGGTTAAGTGTGGCAAAGGAAAAAACAAAGCCTGAGTTTTAACAAACTTTAAGCAAATTGGTTATTCATCAAAATGAATTTAGGTCATAACCTATGCCCAGAACATATGGCCATTTATACATAAGCTGATTATGTCCAGCTCAACCTTTTAAAAATGCCTCAGAGCAAATAAAGTTTCATTATTATTCAACTGCAAAGAATAGAGAGTCCTTAATGTAGATAATAAACTACACTTTCAGTCCTCCAGGGTTATAATCAAATCCTCGCTTATAGGATATATCTTTTTTTTTAAAGATTTATTTATTTTTTTAGAGAGGGAAGGGAGGGAGATGGAGAGAGAGAGAGAGAGAGAGAGAGAGAGAGAGAGAGAGAGAGAGAGAGAAACATCAATGTGCGGTTGCTGGGGGTCATGGCCTGCAACTGAGGAATGTACCCTGGCTGGGAATTGAACCTGGGACACTTTGGTTCCCAGCCCGCGCTCAATCCACTGAGCTACGCCAGCCAGGGGTATGGGATATATCTTAATTGCTTGTTTACTTTCAGATGTCATTAAGTCAGAAGCAACCATTTTAAAAGAACAACAGATCTTGCCCAATTTGCATACCATGCACAGTTTTACCACCAGGAAAAGCCAGAGAAATACTGTCACATATCTATCTGTAAAGTAAGCTTGGTAAGAACACAGAAATGGTAGAAGACAGAGTCCCAGCTTCAGGCCAAGTCTAGAACACAATGCTAACTAATCCACAGGAAGCATCTCAGGAACAAGAAAGGATGGCACGCCTCACGTGCTAAAGAGGTTTAGCCTAATGAATGTAGAAGTTGGAAGGTTAAAAAGCATGCATTTAGGCAAAGTTACTGCATCAACAGCATCAAAACTTCAAACCCAATGAATGTGGCAGAGATAGAGATGAACCAAGCAGGCTCCCTTGCCCTAGAATACCTGATTCTGCAACTTGAAAGCAGAAAAGAAGCCTTTCATAAAAATTTAAACTGAAAGTAGGGAATCTAATTTTAAACAATATAGGAATGTTACTTCCATACAGACCGAACATTTATAGAAAGACACTGTTGGTCATTTCAATTAGTTTATAAAATGGGAAGGAAATAAGAGAGGATAAGAAACAAGAGAGTGACCATGTGTCCTGATTTGCCCAGACCACCCGGGATTGAATCCTGCTCTCGGGAAAACCCTGTAGCTCTGGACATACCACGGTGGATGTCTGGTAACTTTAGTAAACAATAGAATGGTTCTAACTGTGTAGATAGCTTTTGTGATGTATCTCAAGAGATTTTCTAGTGGATTCCTGTTATAATAAAGCATAATTCTGTTCAAGTTTACATTCCTACATGACCTAAATATTCAGAAGGGGGAATTCCATTTTATCAGAATTGCTCATCAGGAGGCCTCAATGTCACATGGGACTGTATGTGGGGAGAAGAAAGAAGAGGCAGTAGGAGGCTTTCCCAACACAGCCCAATGAATTACTTCCACCAGACTCCAACAGTCACCACTGTAGTCTCCTAAGTTCCCCCAAGAAATTTCCAATTCCCTGAATAGCTTCCTGACAACACAGTCCTACTGCTCTTCCCCACCCCATACCATCATCCCCACTCAAGTCTCATGCCTCTACCAACAATCACTGGCCCAGGATCTGGTCAATGTCCATCCCACTGACTATCATGGATGACAGCTGGACTTGAGGAGCACTCCTCTGCTCAGTCACTAGACAGTAATCTTGCCATTGCACTCTGGCTACTTAACGCAAGCAATTCTTGGTCCCAGCAGCAGCTACTGGCAATAACACCACTACTGTACTTTGCACAACTTCAGAATTTCAAACTTTCACACCCGTGTCTCAGGGAAACAGGTGAAGTGTAGTCCTTTTCAATTTTAACAATGTCATGTGAACATTACTTTTGATCCCTATCCTATCTCCCATAAGCCTTTTCTTCCCAGGATCTCTCCTCAACCACTGTGCATTCCCTCCACCTTGAGATAAGCTCTGCATTGAGGTCTCAATATACACATTTAACTGTTTGGAGTAGAAGCTAACTGATTTCTTAGACCCTTTATTTGTCTATACTGACCTGTCTGTATAAATATCACTAATTACTCCTCTTAAATGCAAAACACAGGAATATCACCTTCCTGATAATTTACAGGTGGTACTGGGTGAAAAAGAACACCACCTTCAAAAAAATGCTATCCAGTGACTTGAAGAGCACTAGTCATATCTCCCAAAGGACAAATAAAGATGGGCATCCATGAGTACCCTTTAACCTCTGACTGGAGTTTGGGGGTTTATTTTAACCTAAAAATGCACATCTAACCATGAGATGTAATAACCTCATCTCTATCTATCTATCTATCTATCTATCTATTTTTACACTTTCAGTCGATTTCCAAGTCTCTGGCACATTACACAGTAGTATTTTTGATGACAAAAATGTATTTATCTTCAAAATGCCAAATTTCCAAAGTCAGCATTAATGCCTACTCTTCTTTATCCGTCCAATTTCAGATATTCAACCAAAGGAGGTAAATACATAAACTTGCCCCAAACCTTCTGGTTCTGTTTTCACTCCTCCTCCAATTTTCACCTCCTTTTTCCAGCAACACAAATCCAGGCCTCTTTCTAGACCTCTTTTTTAGATACATTTCACACCTCCCCTTTCAAAGATTCATTCTCTTCACATTTGTTTTACCTATCTCATTTTCTTGTGTACACTGAGTTTATAGTAAACTGCGTTTTTAAAATTTTAAGTGTTATTCCTCTAAATTAAATGAAAAAAATTTCTCTGCTTTACAATTATCTCAAAATTTTTCTCATAAGTATATATAAAACTGCTGCCACATCAAGATAATAAGAAAATAATAATAATCTTAAACTGAAATGCACCATATACACCATAATTTTCACTTTTAACAATGCCATGCCGTGGGGGCCTACATAAGCAAACCCAAATCTACACCTGAATGCCTCAAGGTTGGGAAATCAAAATGCTAAGGCAATCAATCTCAAACAGCCAATCAGCTTCTATCTACAGCCAGTCAGATAATTTTCTTCTTTGCTCTAGCACTTTCTGTGTTCTTTCCCTGGCTCCTGTCCCAAAGCATTCCTAACCACTTCTAGCTTGGCACTGTCCCGTTCTAATAGCTTCTTGCTCAAATCAACTCTTAAAATTCTTAATATATGTGTTTACCTTTTAGCAGCTCTAAATGTTGGTCCATCTCTAGATTCCTTTTTTACTGCCAATTCTCAGCCATTTCCAAACTATGCGAATTCCTTGCTCTCAAAATTACTCTATAACCCATCTATTCTATCAGTGATGTAATTAACACAAATTTATTTCCTTTAATAAGATAAACATTTGTATCATACCTTGTGCTCCCTCACTGTAGTAATTAAAAGGTTTGATGAATTTAACCTTATGCCTCCTTAATTATCATGGTTTATAACGCCTAAATAATTGCTGCCCACTAATTTCTTGCAGTTGACTTCTTCACTCATCTTCATCCTAATTTCTAATACTCCTTCAAGATTCAGCTCGTGTCATATCCCCAGTTTTGCACTCACTACTTACTTACTGTTTCACAGCACAGAAACCTTATTTCTTTATCTCTTTATGACACTGTAGATTTATTACAATTCATCTTTTAATAATTTTTATTTTCAAGTAACAGTTGACACACAATATCATAGTAGTTTCAGGTGTACAACACAGTGAGTACACATTTATATAACTTACCAAGTTATCACCCAATAAGTCTATCAGGGGTGTCTAACCTGTGGCCCAGGATGGCTGTGAATGCAGCCCAACAGAAAATTGTAAACATTATGCAATTTTTTTGTGATTATGGGTCGCAGTGTATTTAATGTGTGGTCCAAGACAATTCTTCTTGATCAGTGTGGGGCAAAGAAGCCAAAAGGTTGGACAACCTGGCCTAGACCTATGTGACACCACATAGGTCTATATTACTGACTATATTCCTATGATATATTTTACATGCCTGTGACTATTTTGTAACTACCAATTTGTACTTCTTAATCCTTTCACCTTTTTCCCCCAGTCCCCAACGTGCCTGTCTTTACCAACCAACAAAATGTCCTCTGTATCTATTAGTTTCTGTTGTTTGTTCATTTATTTTTTCGATTCCACCTATCAGTGAGATCACATGGCTTTTGTCTTTCTCTGACCCATTTTACTTAGCATAATACCCTCTGGACTCACTCATGTTATTGCAGATGGCAAGATTTCACTCTTTTTTTATGGCTGAGTCATATTCTATTGTATAGATGTAACAGCTCTTTCGCCATTCGTC